CCCGTGCCATTTGCTCTGATACCAACTGTAGCGCACCTTATCTCTCTCCCCTTAAGCCAACTGGAAAAGGGGCAATTGCTTGATGAGAAAGCCCTTAGTGGCTATTTTATCCCTATTTATCCCCCAAGGTTCCAAGGATCCACGGTGACAGTATATCTAAATCTCATCCCATGATCACATGCGCTACAGTGGCACTATCTACTTAGATACTTGCTGTGGCTCAATGAAACCTCTCTCTTAGCCCATGGCTAGAGCACCCAAAAGCAAAAAGTGGGGAGAGTACCCATGAGGTTCGTGTAGGGCCACGGTGTTTTGAAATGTTGTCCCAAAGTCCCAGACTATGGAAAGGAAGAGAAATAGTCCTTTGGTGTACTAACCAAGGATACAATTATGTGATGAGGAAGTCCTACAGGACATTAAGATTTAGTAGTCAGGCATGTGGGCTTTGTCCCAGTGGAAGTGTTGGTGAATATGGCCATGGACAGAAAAGGAACTTGATAAGGACTATAAAAGGGATATTAAGGAAGGTTATTCCCTATGTCTGCAGGCATCTTAAGGATGCTAAAGAGTGGATTTAGGACGACTACTCATGGACGGATGGCCTAGTCTTTAAGACATGGGACTATGATGTAGGTGGTGTTAGAGCATTAGTATGGCAAAGGTGAATGGGCGTGGCCTTAGCGTAATGGGCTGATATGTCAATGGTACCTTTGGGTGTCGGTCACGAGATTAGACATGTGGAGCATTTAGACCAAATGCAAAAGTTGAATGGTAAGGATGTCATTTTTAAGGTGAACAAGCCCCAAATCCAGAAGAAGACTTATGGAGATTATGAGTGAGACTCTTCCAAGTGGTTTGAAGTGTGGTTAAGGGACTAAAGTAAAATGGAAAATTTAGTCACTTACATTTTATATCCATCACCCAATTTAACATTAAAACTTTCATATTTTAAACTCTTTATGGCACCATAGTTATAATTAATAAACCCTTGAGCTCATTCTTGATTCCTCACTCTCTTAATTTGCGGCCTTATACATTCATTTTACTTATTCTCCTTCATGCTAGGAGGTAAATTTTTCACTTAATTGTGCTTTAGCAAGTATTTTTAATTTATAATTACACATATTAGGATTAACATTGTTACTTATGGGCAGTCCCCATTACTTAAAAATGGCAATATCATTTTAGCTTTATCCACTTTAGATAATTAAGGTTTCTTTTGTCTTTAGCTTTTCTTAAACTTAAACTTTAGATTCTATCCATCATTCTTTATGGGCCTTACTAAAAACTATTTCTTCAATGTTTTATATGTTTATATATTTAAATATAGACTTCTTAGAAAAATGAACATTTTCTTATTCAACAATGACTCATTATATTATACATAAGCAATTTATCCCTCAAGGGATATCTCAAACTTGTTTCGTATCCCAACAAAAAGTTTAAGGAAGTTAACTTCCACCACTTTAATCAATTATATCAAAATTATGCTTAATTACCTCAAAGTTAAAGCTATGATGTTCTAGAACTCATTATATCAAAACACAAGCCTTTTAGCTTAGGCTGGGTTAATTTTGTTTCCTTCAAAACTCCTTCATAAACTGGCCATCTTCACCCATTCAATGTATATTTTAATGAAATATTTAATATCTCCACACTATCAGCTTTATGAGTTTATCTTTATAACATATTCCATGCCTTTTGCCAAGACTAGAATATCTAATAATGGCTAAAACAGAACTTTCCTCAAAAATTATTTTCCTTTCTAAATATTTTTTCATGTTTTACACATGGCACTCTCAACCACTAATGAGGTACTCATTATTTTCATATTTGAATCTTAAGATTGTTTTAGCCCTTGGCTAAACTCAACACAAATATAAATTTTTGAAACTATCCCTTAACTCCACTAAATCACTAAGCATTAGACTTATTAGTTTTGCAACAACACAAATATAAATTTTTGAAACTATCCCTTAACTCCACTAAATCACTAAGCATTAGACTTATTAGTTTTGCAACTTAAAAGTTCATAATGTCATATTCACTCTTTTTGTATGTCATCACCCACCACCTGATATAGCCTTTCTTAATTACATTAGTTCCCCTAAAGTACTCCGTTTACAATCTTATATGGACCCCTAAAGTTTAGAAGACAATCCTTTTATACTACTTACTCTTGATTGTTCAAATTAGAACTTTTGATCTAAATATGTTACATTTGTTAGACTTTTGCTTTGGCCATTAACACACTTTCATTCATTTATGAGATTTAGGGATTTGTGTTTCACACTCTTCTCAACATTTAACAACTCTATTAGGGAGGGTTTCTTTCTTACTAATCTGCAATTTAGATGGCATTTGATAAAGATGATGTAATTTCTCAAAGGCATTGTTATAGTTGTTAATATGTTCAAATATTTGTTTGAAGACATTTAAAAGAAAGCTTTAATCCACATGAGTTACTGTACTCAAATTATTATACCAGTACAATGCTATTCTTTGCAAATGATTGGAAAACTTGCATAAACATTAGACATAATATATTTTTCTTTCCTTTTGCTTAGGTTTAGTTGGATTTCTTTCATGGGAACTCTAAAGTTTACATATATCATAAATTTGATCTCTTCACTATAATTGTTATTTATCATTCTTAGGACAATGAGTTTGATTGTTCAATTACATTCTTATAATATTGATAAGTTATATGAATTACTGCTCCATAGACAAGGGAGGAAGTTGTTACAAAGGAATATATTACTCAACTATGGATGAAAAGAAGAGGAGAAACAAAAGAAAAAGAAATAGAAAAAATTATAAAAATAAAAACTATTTAAACAATACAAAAGTTAAATCTAAACAAAAACTATATATCCATGCACTTCTCTCAACCAATGTGCATATTCATATTAGCCATTTATAAGTGAGTGGTCTAGAAAATCAAATCCAACAGTTGTTAAAGTCCTACTAAACTTATAATAATATATAACATTGGAATTATAGATTTAGACCTCACAAATGAAAATATTCCTTAAAACCCTAAAGTTGAACACACAAAGTAGTTTTTTTCTTTTGTCTAGAAGACAATTCTCCGCATATCCCTGCAATAAGCTCTCCTGTAAGGCACATGCCTCACTGTCATTGCCCATCGCAGCTTGCAAAAACCATTACAGTTGCCGGCATCATTCGGAAAAATCCTTGCATTTACCGTGCATCTGGATGAGCAAATTTGCCACGAAAACGTTCTCTCTATTTCTTACGAGCTAGATCTAGTTGTGTATACAGTGAAGTCTTTGGACTTGGTACCATTAAAATGGCAATTTGATAGCTCTTCAAGCTTTACTTTGTTTTAGGCAAAAGATCTATTCTTTCTTGCTCTGCAACATCATCTTGTATTCCCGCTGAGGAATGGAGAGACAGACATAAGGCCCCCATGAACGCTACAAGCAGTCACAAGAGCCGACCACGCACGGAGTTCTAACGATAAAATCCCGAGCCTCCTGAAGCTTCCCCGCGCGACACAAGAGATCAAAGTGCTCGCCATTGGGATCCAATCCACAGTCTTACATTGCGAGAAACAATTCCCTCGATTCTTCGAAGAATCCTCTCCAGCTACAACCCACTAGAGAGCTCGTGAAAGTCACAGTGGTCAGAGAAGCTCCAATTTCCCTCAAGAGCTTCCAAAGCACCGGCCATATGCCCAAACTGGGCATATGCTCCAATCATCGTATTCCACAGGATAGGATCTACCATAGACACGTGATCGCCCTCCGCCCGTACGAGGTCGCCACACTTGCTGTACATAGTCACCAGTGCGTTGAGCATTGCCGTGGCTTTCGAGGATAAACTCCGTGCAAGAGCCTCCCCACCGCCTGATCCGTACACGCATCGATCGACAATTCCATTGCAATTCCTCAGGACTTGGAATCATGGAATCCAAATCTACACATTCTAGTTAGCTGTGGCTCAGCATCAAGCTTCCTGTAATAGAACTGGCGGCAGTCCAGGACTGGTTTGCGAGCGAGCTGAGGGGATGTGGGCGGCGGCGGGAGATCGAACGTGGCAGGGAGATCCACGCCCAGCTCCACACCTCTGGCTATGGCGGCGACAGGTATCTAGGGAATCTTCTCGTCCAGATGTATGGGGAGTGTGGATGCGTGGAGGACGCCCATGCAGCGTTTGAGGCTATCTACGAGAGGAATTCCTTCTCGTGGAACATCATGCTCGCGGCATATACCCGTAATGGGCATTTGCAAGAGACCAAAGAGATGTTTGACCTGCGAAGAATGTGGTGACGTGGAACGCCATGCTGGCGGCATACTCGCAGAACGAGGTCCTCACTCTGCTCCGTGCCATGTGGCAGGAAGGCATTGGTGCCACGGAGGTGACGTGGGTATGCGCGCTGGATGCGTGTGGCACTTGGCGCAGGGAGTCCAAGCCTATAGGTTGGTCAAAGAATCTGGTTGCGAATCTTTCAAGGTATCTAACGCGGCCATCACCATGTTTGCGAGATGTGGTGCTCAATCGAAGAGACGGCCACATTGACAATGCGCTCATCGCCATGTACAGCAAATGAGGACCGCGTTCGTGAGTGTTCTTGGCGCTTGTGGGGGATTTTTTTTGAAGACAATTAAAAGAAAAATTTAATCCACATAGCTCAGCACCTTTGGTTCCCCTCAAACGCACTAAAAGCAAGCAAAAAACTCCATAGCTCAAAGCTCAAAGATACATCGTCTAAAGTCTAAAAGTGGCAGACATCAGTTAAACATCGTCATACCCTAAAGTGGCACAATATACCTGGATATTCTTGTGTTAAACCCGGTTGGTTGCTTATGGCGGCGGAGGGCGTGGTGCGCTCACTGGTGAGTGGCGTCGATTTCGAGCTGTTCACAGCGGACGACTTCCAAAATCTTTCGGCGGCGGGGTTCGTGGATGCCAACGCTTATCGCCGAGCTCAGGGTGTCGGGCGGCTCGAGAAGGCTCTCGAATCGGCACTCCCAACTCGCATTCAGCAAGTCAATGCTTTGCTAGTGGCCACCTGCTGGTACGTGCTTCCGTCTTTCTTTCCTCTCGTGTGCCAGTGACCCGCTTCTCGACAGGAAGGATGAGAAGAAAGCGGGAGGACAGGGGCGTGATTATTAAACAGCGATACAAGGCGCTGCAGGAATTGTACGCTGGCAAGGATTGCTCATTCCTGTGGGATGGAGGAGCTGTTTACTTGGGGCTGCTTCTACCAACTCTTAATGCAAACATGGAAACATGGACGACAAGTACAACTACATTGGTCGTGCTGGCGCTGAGAAGCTCCATTCTAGCATTTTGAAGCTCCACAATGCAAATCGCTTGCAGGTCATTGGGGGTAAAGGCAGTGGCAAGAGTACTGTCATGAGCACCGAAGCCGGCTTCCTCCTCGCCAACGGCAAAAAGGTGGTGTATATCTCGGCAACCCGTTACATCTCAGAGCCGGACAAGGTTCTGCTCGAGGCCTTGCTGCTTGCATTTGGCCAGTGCAAGACCGTGTGGGAGGAGTTGCAGAATTTGCTCAGTGTAGAAGACCTGGTGGCGTGGTGCGAGGGCAGGACAGGTTTGCTTTTCATCATCGATGACTGGGAACAGCTTGATCCAAGGACGAATGATAAGGTGGAGCCACAGCTGCTTCATCGCCTGAAAGCTCACCTGGTTCGTGCCTCTGGAGTCAGTGTTCGCATCACAGTCTTGTCCATAGACAGCCCCGAGCCATATGAAAGTGCAAAACTTGACAAGGCTGAAGACTATATGCTAACTGAAGAGTTTGACGGTCCCTACACGGAAGAGGAGCTGAATACATGGATTGCGCAGGCAAATCTACCAGCTTCTGCGCTGCTGGATCTGGATAATCTGACGGGGGGAATACCGCGCTTGTTACGCTTCTACAAAGAATGTGGTGGCGACAGGCAGCAGTGGCTGAAACGCCAAGTACGAGGATAAGCTCTGGACGGAATTCGTTGGAAAGTTGGACTCGAAGGAAGATCTGGTCGCTGCTATCAACATGGTGGTGGGTGATGGAAAACTACCTCCGCGGCTAGCTCCGAAGATCAAGCTTACCTGCTTCTGCAAAGACCTTAATGGCAGATTTCGGCTTCTGTCACCTTACTTTCGAACCCAGGCAGAGACCCTGTTAACAGGAAAGGGAAAGGAGCTGGACAAGAAGCTGCTGCTTTCAGACATACAGTTGTGGACAGAAGCAGTAGAAGTGGACTGTAAAAGTGAGCTTGCAGAAAGGAACCCCTCTCGCATCAGCTGGCACATTGAAGGCCTAGTGATCAGCGTCATTCGGATACAGGGGAGGCTGTTTGATGACGCTTATTCGTTCAAGAGGTACAGGACGTATGCCCATGGGCACGAAGTAGCTGCTCTTCGCAATGTAGGGTTCCAGGACTTGCGGGGGGGGGGGGGGGGGTGTCTTGATGGGTCCTCAAGCATTGGTAGCTCTTCAGATTACAGTTGCTCAGTGGAAGGCAAAGGAGAAGAAAAGGTCTCATACAGTGTGGAAGGATGAGGTCCTTCCGGAATGGAAAAAAGGACTGGGAGCTGCCACGGTCGAGTCCTTGTACTACTATGCCATGCCTGATACAGTGAAGCTGGAAGGCTTGCAGGTGACGTGGCAGGCTTCAAAAGTCTAAGCGATATAGACGAATCGCTGAAATGGTTCGACCAGATTAAGCTCACAGAGCCAAAGATCCCGTCAAAGAAGCAGGCTACTAGGTTCTGTTGGGGAAAGAATAGAACCTGTGAGAACTGTGCCAACTGCAAGCTTCACTTTGAGGGAGAAGCGTGTGCTTGTGAGTACAGGTGCAGGTGGCATCCAGCTTAGGATGATCAAGTGGTTAAACTGTTTCTTACTTAATTCGGTTAAGTCAGTTTTGACTTGATGATTTGTGCCCTCTTACAATGATGGTCTAGAGGATGGTTTTGCAAGGCTGATTGTAACAACAATAGAGGGAGAGTGCCTTGTTCGTCTTGACAATCCTCTCAGATGTAGCTGGCTTAAATGCAAATGTTGACACATGCAATCTCAACTGTCTTTTGAAGCCTAATTTAACATCATGCAAGTCAAACACAATCTTATTTGTGCCAGGTGGCACTGTGGACAAAACTGGCTCCATATCATACAGGTCCCATGGTATGTGGTCACACACGAACTTTGAAATAGATACAGGTAAGAGGAGACCTAACTTGAAGGTAAAATAAATGGCAAATCACCACATTTGATATTTGAAGTGGCTTTTATCTAATGACACTTCTAGGTATATAGATTGGACTATATTCCATTTATTCATATTGGATAAAATTCCATTTGATGATATTAAGAAATTAGTATACAATTAAACATGATATTTAGTTTATCTAAATGATACCAACTTCCATTCAAAATCATCCTTTCAAACATGCGGGAATTACTTCCCCAACGTTAATAGTATCACCTTCTGGCAAGTTTTAAAACCATACTTTTATTGCACTATCCTGATTTTGCATATGTTATGAACCATTTATACTTAACTTCTTAAATATTAATTTACTCTTTTAGAACATTGAAAAGACTCTAGCCTTCAGTTTATTAATGCCTTTAGTTTCATAAACTTTTTGGCTACTATCTAGCTTTGTATGGAGACTTTCAGTTTTATGAGCTTTCATAAGGTTTATATCCATCACCCAATTTAATATTAAAGCCTCCATGTTTTAAACTCTTCATAGCACCATAGTTATAATTAATAAACCCTCAAGTTCATTCTTGGTTTCTCACTCTTAACTTGTGGCCTCATACATTCATTTTACTTATTATCCTTCATGCTAGGAGGTAAGCTTTTCACTTAATTGTGCCTTAGTAAATATTTTTAACTTATAATCACACATATTGGGATTAACATTATTACTTATGGGCACTCCCCATTATTTAGCAATGCCAGCATTGTTTTAGCTTTATCCACTTTAGATAATTAAGGTTTCTTTTGTCTTTAACTTTTCTTAAACTTAAATTTTAAATTCTATCCATCATTATTTACGGATTTAGTCCCTTTGGCCTTACTAAAAAATATTTTTTCAATGTTTTATATGTTGATATATTTTAGTTTAAACTTATTAGAAATGAGTATTTTATTATTTAACAATGACTCACTATATCATGACATAAGCAATTTATCCCTCAAGGGATATTTTAAACTTCTTTCTTATCATAATAAAAATTCTGAGGAAGTTAACTTCCACCATTTTAATCAATTATATCAAAGTTATACTTAAATTACCTCAAAATTATCACGACAAAAGTTCTCATGTGCTGTTTTTTAATATTACACTCAATATAAGTTTTACCTTATGGCATTTTAATGCACTAAAAATACATCAATTTAAACATTTGAGCAAATGTGACATTATTATTTACAAAAAAAATATTAGTTTTAAAAAATCTTGTGGTATTGCAATTTTTACAATTCCACTTCAAACCCTCTTTACAGCTTTTATTATCAGATTGATATCTCATTGGTCAATGACATTTTTCACATTCTCTCTCTTCTAGAAGAAGACAAATCATAATACAAAAAGTAAAAGAATTTACTTTATTATTCGTTCTCTCAATAAGATTAGGAAAAGGAAATAATACTGTCTTAAATATGATTTATATATTCCAATCTAACCATAATACTAAAGAAAATGAATAAGATAAGAAAGAAAATATAAAGAGCACAAACATAAAACACAAAGAGGAAAAACATAAACCCAAATGTAAGTTATATACTTATAAATTATAGCCGTTCAGTCACTGGCTAATTATAAAATTATAGTCATTAATATATCTGTTAACAACATCTACTAATTAAAATCTAACGTTCCTAATTTAGAGTTAATCATAAAACATTTAAGGTGGACCACGTAAGAGAGCAATTCCCTTGATCCTTCAAAGAATCCTCTCGAGCTATAACCCACTAGAGAACTTGTGAAAGTCACAGTGGTCGGAGAAGCTCCAGTTTCCCTCAAGAGCTTCCAAAGTGCTGGGCATATGCCCAAACTGAGCATACGCTTCTACCATGGTGCCCGTACGAGGTCGCCACACTTGCTGTACATAGTCACCAGTGCGTTGAATATTGCCGTGGTTTTCGACGATAAGATCCGTGCAAGAGCCTCCCGCACCACCTGATCCGTACGCACATCAATTGGCAATTCCATTGCAGTTCCATTTGGAATTATGAAATCTGGAAAGTTCAAATCTACACATTCTAATTAGCTGTGGCTCAGCATCAAGCTTCCTGTAATAGAACTGGCGGCAGTCCAGTTTGCGAGCGAGCTGCGGGGATGTGGGCGGCGGCGGGAGATCGAACGTGGCAGGGAGATCCACGCCCAGCTCCACACCTCTGGCTATGGCGGCGACAGGTATCTAGAGAATCTTCTTGTCCAAATGTATGGGGAGTGCGGATGCGTGGAGGACGCCCATGCAGCGTTTGAGGCTATCCACGAGAGGAATTCCTTCTCGTGGAACATCATGCTCGCGGGCAGGTGACGTGGATATGCGCGCTGTGTGGCAAGCTGGCAGGTTTGATGTATAGGTTCGTCAAAGAATCTGGTTGCGAATCTTTCAAGGGCCATCACCAAGTTTGCGTGGGAAACGCCAGGGATGTGTTCGAGTCGATGCCGTCCGTTTCTCGAGGGCTCGTGACGTGGACGGGCATGATCACAGCCCACGGCCGCCAAGGGAGGCATTGCTGGTTTTTGCAATAGCGTGCTTGGAAGGAATCAAGGCTGATGGGATCGCGTTCGTGAGTGTTCTTGGCGCTTGTGGAGATGAAGGGGATTTAGCGAAAGGGCAAGCGATTCACAGGCTGATTGACAACGCCACCATCAATCGAAGAGACGGCCACATTGACAATGCGCTCATCGCCATGTCCAGCAAATGTGGGTGCTTGTCCGAGGCGAGGAGGATTTTTGATCGCTGCTGCGCTACAGGGATTGCCACAATTGGGCCATCATCTCGGCGTTTAGCCGCCAATCACAGCTCAAATCCGATGCGGTGAGGCTGTTTGCTAGCATGGATCTCGCAGGAATTCCACCGGACGAGATCACGCTGATCAACGTTACAGAAGCTTGCTCTAGCTTCGATCGTCTCCTCCACACTGCACTGGATGATAACCAAGGCCTCCAGAAGAAGGGATTCAAGCTACGGAACGCGCTGATTGCCAAATGTGGCGAATGTGGCAGCCTAGAAACTGCAGAGCTCTTGTTCTTTGATGGCGACCACGACCACGGCATCGACAATGTGGTGTCTTGGAACGCGCCGATGGCAGCGTTTTTGAGCAATCGCAAAGAAAGAAGAGCCCTTGATCTTTTCAAGCAAATGGATTTGGAGGGTATCTCGCCCAATTCCATCTCTCTTCTCATAGCTCTCGACGCCTGTGCTCAGCCCTGGACGAAGGCCGTACCATTCACGAGCACGCAGTGGCCATTTCCGTGGCGGTCCACAAACTGGCCACGGCGCTCATCACACTGTACGGCAGATGTGGACACGTGGCCGACGCCTGGAGCGTCTGCACGATCGCAGCCCGGGAAAACTGGAACACGTACACGTGGACGGCCATGATGGCTGCTCTTGCCGCTGGTGGTCAGCATGGAGAAGCCGTGAACTTGTTCCAGAGAATGGGGCAAGAGGGATTCCAGCCCGATCTCGTCGCCCTGGGCATCAATTTCCTGGCGTGCAGCCACGCAGGGATGATCGATCAGGCGCGCAACTGCTTCGCATCGATCGATCGCGACTATGGCATCACCGCGAGCCCGGAGCTCTTCGTGAGTATGCTGGATGTTCTAGGGCGATCGGGAGGAGTGCAGGAGGCCAGAGAGTTGATCGAAAGCATTCCAGTTGGGGGGGCATTGCTGGGATCTTGTGGAATCCACGGCGCACGGCACCTCTCGCGGCGGCTGGAGCATCTTCTTCGTCGGCTTATGTCCAGCTGGCCAGCTTATTCGGGCAGCAATCCAACGGCTGGCGTCACTGACAATTGGACGGTCGGGAGTTAACGTTCTCATCTCGGATTTAAGGCAAGATCTGAAGGCCATGGTGGCGGCCGCGCTGCTGCTGCTAGTGGGAAGGGGCCGATTGTGATGCTGCGGCAGGAGTACCAGCGCCTGGGCGGCGCCTGAGCAGCGTCTTCACCGTCAAGATTGTCACGCGCATGATCACATTCTTGATCGGTCCCGAGGTTTCTTCCCATTTCTACAAGGCCCAGGAGTCGGAGCTGAGCCAAAAGGAGGTCTATCAATTCAATGTCCCCACTTTCGGCCCCGGAGTGGTCTTCGACGTGGATTACTCTGTCCGGATGGAACAGTTTCGCTTCTTCACCGCAAAGACACAACGTCATACTCTAAAGTCTAAAAGTGGCAGACACCAAGGATATACCTG